CACATTAGCGGCGTACCAGAGAAGAAATGAGGTATTAGTTAGTAGCGTCACTTACCACTACAGAATAGGGACAGGTGCATGTGTTTCCAGGCTAACGTGAAAGAAAGTTCCCCGTTTTTTGTTTTTTTTATTTAAATTATGATGTTCATATGTAACAATTGTATAGTAACAATGATTTTATCGTTTTTCCATGATTATGACGTCACTTAAAACGATATGTCAAAACATTTTGGTATCGTGTACATGATAAATCGTTATCGAATCCTCCTAATGTAAAAACTCCTGTTATTTCTTTTATTTTTATATGAACAATTGATTTTTAGGTTTTTATTGTTATCGTTGCAAGTATAAACAGGTGTTTATTCTATACTTTTGAGGATTACCATAACTACAAACGGCCACCGAGACGATGGGCATGGGGAAGATCCCCGGGGCCTAAGCTTAACAGGGGCCCATAGAGATTTCAGGTAGCATTTTTTCCCCATATTTTTTTCAAAAATATTAATTACTATCATGGGCCCTCAATAATGGCATGGGTCCCCTAATAATGGGCCCCTCCAGATTGACAGGGCCCCCTTAAAAAATTTTTGCACCTCGGCGCAATCTTTCTCACGCGTCGCGCTAGTCTGGGGGCTCACACCCACCCTTGTCCCTGTTACAGTTTCCACTCTTGGCGGCCCTGACCACAGATCTACTGTACAGACTCCCTAAAAATTTGCCACACATATCTCCATCATCCTCTCCCATCATTTCACACCACACCCCACCCTGAATGCATTGATTGTTATAATTTGATTGCTAATCATACCTTTGTTTTTATTTATTTGGCATTTACAGTCAGATAATTAAGAAAAATTTATATAATAATAATACAATAATTATAATATACCCAGCACCCAGGGGTATTATTGTTCATGTGGTTTTTGAGGAGCCAGTGTTTACTGGTAAATGTAGTCCACAATGATGTTAAAAAGTGTTTTTGTATGGCTTATAAATCCCTAATTAGCAAATAATTTAATTCCACTAGGGTAAAACATTGATAATTAAGTCAATGTTGAAAATGATGTTGCTTTCATTTCATCCGACCATAGTTACTAGAGACAATTCGAAGAAAAATTAAGCGCCCTAAGCGTTATTCCTAATGGCCTTTATTGTTAGAGGGGGCGGGGGAAGGGGCCGTTTATTCGGGGGAGTTTGTTCAAAGCAGGGCATTTATTTGAAGAAATACTTGAAATTATTAACTGTTATTTAAAACATGAGGATCACAGACAGGATGTTAGCCCATAAATTAATAATTATTAGTCTTTTATGCACTTTAAATTATGACGTTAAATTGTGTTTGGTTTCATGTTTTTTAATTGTCTTCGCTAGTTATGTTTATTTTGTGAAAAATAAATAAGGTCCTCCCTCCATGCATTGGGCAAATAAGCAGTGTGAGTAAAATGAATATTACATAGCTTATTACATAGTCATAATCAAAAAAATATGTTAAAAGTAGTTATTATCATTATAGTAATTGTTTTTTAAATTGCAAATGTATTAGCGTAAACTTTTGTGTGCCCCCGCATGACTGTTGGTACACGTCCCGCAAAAATTACATTCATGGCCTCGCATGAATTGCATGCCTCGCTGGATGACTCGCTGACTCACACTTTGGCAACTCTCTAATCACAGAAAGAAATGAAAACAATTCAATAACCTAGACCCTACTATAGTACAATACTGTACTTACCCGGGGTGGGGACAGTCTTCCCGGGGGGGGGGGGGGGGGGGGGGGGGGGGGGGGGGGCGGGGCGCCCGTCGGGGAGGTCTGGCCTCTCTCCCACCCCATGTCGGGGAGAAAAACCACAATTCGTCGGGGGAAAAATGTAATGTATTGATCGCCATATTAGTAGACACCAAAATCAACCAAGTAAGTC